GAGGGCCCCCAACCCGGCGCTGGGAAGGGGGCACAGCCTGAGGTCCCCCATCAAGCCCCGCTGGGCAGGGGGCGCGGGCTGAGGTCCTCCATCAAGCCCTGCTGGGTGCGGGGGCGTGGCCTCAGGTCCCTGCTGATCACTCATTACAGCTCGTTATGGGAACCCTACCTCCACTGTGGGTGCAGCCATCTTGTGATGGAGTGAGGGTCAATTTGCATATTACCTCTTTATATATAGCATAGCCAAGATATGAAAGCAGCCTAGGTGTCATTGATAGATGAATGGATGAGAGAAGATGTACCTATACATAATGGAATATGACTCAGCCATAAAAAAGAATGAGATCTTGCCATTGGCGACAGCGTGGATGGACCTCAAGGGCGTTCTGCTAAGTGATGAGCCGAGTGTGTGCCCGCAGGAGGGGCCTCGCTGGCCCTTTCTGGCCTCCCTCTACCTGTCCTGCTGGTTCACCGTGGGGCTAACCAAGCCTCATCCTCGGCCTCCCTGAGGCCACTCACTCACACTGCCATGTCCTCAGGTCCTTGGGCTTTAAATTGTGAGCCACCTGGGGGTCTTGATTCGCGGGCCTGCCAGTCTGCATTTCTAACCAACTGCCCGGTGACGCTGATGCTGCTGGTCCATGGGCAGCAGTTTTCGTAGGATGTGTGTCACTTACGATTGACAGTTCTCAATCGAACGCTGTGCTTTGAACATGGGACTGAGCCCAGCGACTAACAAGAAACGGGCATAGAGAAATGGATGGTGTGTTTTCCATACCAGGCTCTGTGCTCATCTCTTTCTAGAAACCATTGCTGATTAATCTGCACACACTCCTAAGACATGAGGTAGGTACTAGGCTGGTTCTGATCTTGCAGAAGAAATACCTGCAGACCTCAGGGGCTGGGCTCCCCTAACTCTGGAGGCAGGTGACGCAGACCAGCCGCACAGGGCCAGGGCAGCGCCGGCAGGACGCGTGAGAGCTGCCTCATTAGTCACGGAGGCTGCAGGCTCTTCTGTGCTTCTGGAGAGGTCCTTTCTGACCTTGGGGTGTGGGCAGAACTTCAGAGCCTGAAGGAGGAGCTGATGCCTCGCCCACCTGCCAGGCAGGCACCACGTCTCCGAAACGCCTCTCTTTCAAGCTTTTCGGCACGTCACAATATATTTTTTTATAAATTTGGTTTTTTTAATATATGTATCTTTATTGATTTCAGGGAGAAAGGGAGAGGGAGAAAGAGAGAGAAACATCAATGATGAGAGAGAGTCATTGATCGGCTGCCTCCTACATGTCCCCTAACGGGGATTAAGCCCGCAACCCAGGTACGGGCCCTTGACCGGAATCAAACCCGGGACCCTTCAGTCCGCAGGCTGACGCTCTACCCACTGAGCCAAACCAGTTAGGGCACTTCACAATATTTTGACACGAGAAGGAAAATAAAAATGGAAATGCTTTGAAACAGTTCCTGGGATTCTTGTCCTCAGGGACCATGTGACCGAATTGAAGTTTAGTCATAGGGTTCCGGTTTAACATATGCAGTTACTATAGCAATTGAGGTTTCCTTAGAAACTAACCGTTGCAAAAATAATCTGGCCCCAATTAATAATACATTTTAAAGCGCCTTCTGCCCTACACTGAGCAACCCAGTGTTTTTGGCCAAAGACCAGATGATGCAGGGCGTGTCATGTGCACCGACATAGATACATTTGCATGCAATTGGGTGAGCTGGGTTGGAAAGCAATGGGAAGGGCTAGTAATTTCAAGTATTGTAGGAACCCGACCTGGAAAGTCGACTGGCAAGCTAATATGAATGAGTTTGCAGAGCGGGGGAGCTTACTGGTAAGCCCCGCCCTAGGCCCAGTGTGCCCCGGAGGTGATTGTGTTTGAAGAAGGGATCAGGCAGGAGACTGGGCTTGATCATAGAAAAGAGGAAGCGAAAGGGTGGGGCGTGGGATTTCTTTTGTGTCCCTGCGAGGGGTGCCCCTGATGGCTCCAGCAGGCCTGCACGCGTGTGAGTTCAGCAGCCCTTTGGGCAGAGTGTCGCCTGATTTACCAGGTGTGTCCTCCACTGAGATGTGCCCTTCGAGCTGCTCGTGTGGGCACGGCGCCGGGCACCTCAGCTTGCAGAATCCTCTCGGCCATTCAGAAGGGTTATCAGTGTGTGGCCAGGCTGCCCAATGACAGCCTGTGGCCTTTGAAGGTTGCAGGTGCCTTGGCACGTGGGACTCGGGCCTTGATGCTGCCTGTGCACTCCCAGCCTTGTGGCCAGCACTGCCCAGGGAGGCCTGGGATGACCTGTGGGCGCAGGCCTTGGTCTGAAGCAAGACACTGACCGGCAGGGGTGCTGGGGACAGCCTAGGGCCTAGGCAGACCTGGCCTGGCCTCCCCTCCCTGCCGGGGTCTATGCCTGGCCCTGGGTTTCTTTCTCAGCTGGTGAGTGGTTTGGTCTCGAAAGGCAAAGTGTGAAGAGGGGTGGAGGTGGGATGACGGCTCTACTATTCGCTTCCTGAGAGGAACTGGGAATTGTGTTTTTCTGTGGTGGGGGGATGGTGTAGAGGGGGGAGCAGAGCCAAGTGGAGTGGGTGGGATCTCAGACGCCCTTCCTGAGATCTGTCTCATTAGATGGCGGCTTGTGAGCACCTTGGTTAGCGGGTGGATTCACTCCCGAGTCTGCCCTCCTCCCTCCTGGATGTGGAGCGGGATAGCGAGGGCAGGGGAGGCTGCCATCAGGTCTGATCTGTCCCACTGCCTGTCATTTTCTCCTCAGTCTTCCCTGCCATGTGCCCCCCCCCCAGGAAGCTCACCCCAGTGTCCCTGGCCACCTGCTGACCGTGGGTCTCTGGTGTGCCTGCATCCCCCACTCACTCACTCACACCTCTCAGCGAACACTGACCGAGCACTTTCTGGAGCCCAGGCACTGTGCCCGGCTGGGGGGTGTGGCGATGAGCATGTCCTCTGGGCGGGCCTGTCTTATTCCTTCTTCTCCAGGGCACCCCCAGCCCTTTGCATCACAAGGGGGCAGTGTGGGCACATGCTGAACATCTGTAGGAGGGCATGCGGGAGAGGGGGCTGCAGGCTGAGTGGAGAGGGGTCAGAGGAGCAGGCAGGGAGGTGGCAGCTGAGCAGAGCCCAGGGCTGGGGGGGAAGGGGGGGCGGGAGCTGCATGGGGTGTGGAGGCTCCAGGGCGAGTCCGGGAGATGAGTGAAGACACCTCCTGGAGGAACTTTGTACCGTGGAAAGGAATGTTTTTTCTCTGCCACCTAAAAGCAAGGGAACCATTAAACTTTTCAAGCAGGGAAAGGATGTGGGCAGATTTGTGTTTTAGCTGGATCCCCCTGGAAGCCACGTGAGGCGGGGGAGCAGGCAGGAGACAGGGAGAGGTGGTGGGGGCCTGAGTGGGGGCCCAGCAGGGAGGAGGCAGAGGGAGGGGTGTGGGATGAAGTCAGCCCCTCTCGGGTCCCTCTCACAGAGCCGCGCTTTGGAGGAGGAGCCTGGAGGTGGGGCTTGGACCGCCGTGTCCAGGGGCGTGTGGCAGCTCTGCTGACCTCCTCGCTTTGCTCTGCAGTGACCAAGCTGCAGGTGAGCAAATCCAAGAGGACCCTCAACTTCGCTTGGTACAAGCTGGCGGAGGAGGTTTCGGGGCGCACAGAGGTCACTGTGAAGCAGCCAGGTGAGCAGAGGGGGTCAGCCACCCAGGGCAGTGGGTTTAGTGTGGAGAGGCCTGCACAGGGCCTTGGGTCCACACTGGCGGTGGGTGCAGGCACGCAGGCCATCGTCCTGGCGCACGGCGGGCCGCCCACTTTGCCTGCAAGGGGTCCCAGTGCCGATGGCAAACAGCATCCGTGACTGTGCTGTGTGGACGCATCCTCACCAGGGAGAGGCCCGACGGGCGGCTGTGGTTGGCAGGAGGTGGCCAGGCAGGATTCTGGCAGCTCCCGGCTGTCTTTCAGGATTTGCAGCTCGCACCCCAGGGATCCTGCCTAGGGGGCATTTTCCTGGCTCGCTCACCTGCTGCTTTACCTCCTGTCCCAGCCCAGGGGGAGCGCTTCCTGTCTCCAAACCTGTGGGGCAGCCTGACCAGTGGCCTCTGACCTCTGCAAATGCCTCCATGGAGGGATCACTCACCACCCCCCAGGTCTCAGCTCCACTTTAGGGCACCCTCCTTGTTGAATGTCCCGTCCCCGTCATCTCCCTCTCAGGTTTCAGATCTGCCCCTAGAGCAGGGGTGGGGAAACATCCAGCCCCCGGGCCATGGAAGACCCTCGAAATCATTGGGTGCATCTCCCTCTCAGGTTTCAGATCTGCCCCTAGATCAGTGGTGGGGAAACATCCAGCCCCCGGGCCACGGAAGACCCTCGAAATCATTGGGTCTGGCCCTGCCAAGGCATTAGGAGTGAGTTCATTAAATGTTTGGCCAAATACAGCAGGCTAGTTTTTAAGTTGATCATTGTGTATGGCCCACGAATGATGTTATAAATACCCGAATGGCCCTTGGAAGAAAGGAGGCTCCCCACCCCTGCTCTAGAACAACCCAGAGAGGTCTGGGTCATCCCTTTCCATGACAGTCATGCACCGCATAACGACATGTGAGCCAACAGTGGACCGCTCTTATGACGGTGGTCCCACAAGATTATAAGGGAGCTGAATTCCTGTGAGAAGTGGGAGGATTTCTCTCTGACGGGAGCAGTAGGCAATAGATTCCCTCTCGCTCACGGCACCTCAATTCTGAGTGCACAGGTGACATCCCAGCCCGTCACCCACTCACCTGTTTCAGACAGAGGAGGCTGTCAGCTCAGTGCTTCCGATTTCTTATTCCCACTGGTGCTCACACCACCTGCACTACCTCCTGACAGTCTCTGTTAGGGTGACCCACGCCTTACCCAGCCGGTTTCTCCCCGATATTCCCAGCCTCTCCCGCCCACATCCCGCTCCGGGAGCAGCACTGACGGCCGTGAGGTTCTCTTTCTGACCCTGTTGGAAGGAAGCGGGAGGAGGGCTCGTGGGACAGTGTGTACGTCTGCGCCCCACTCCTCACTGACGCACCCAGAGCAGTTTCCGGTCCCGCAGGCTCCATTAATGGCACGCGCCCCATACAGGGGTACCCTTCCTCGTCTTTTATTTTTACTGCACCTTTTCTATGTTTAGATGCACGAATACTTACCATTGCCTCACAGCTGCTTACAGTATTGAGTACAGGCACATGCTGTGCAGGCCTGGAGCCTGGCCTAGACCCTAGGCCAGTGATGGCGAACCTTTTGAGCTCGGCGTGTCAGCATTTTGAAAAACCCTAACTTAACTCTGGTGCCGTGTCACATATAGAAATTTTTTGATATTTGCAACCATAGTAAAATAAAGACTTATATTTTTGATATTTATTTTATATATTTAAATGCCATTTAACAAAGAAAAATCAACCAAAAAAATGAGTTCGCGTATCACCTCTTGACACGCGCGTCATAGGTTCGCCATCACTGCCCTAGAGCCTAGGTGTGTAGGAGGCTGTACTGTTTAGGTGTGTGTGAGCGCGCTCTGTTGGTCGCACACTGACAAGATCACCTGAGGACACTTTCTCAGAGTGTATCCACGTCATTCAGTGGCTCATGACTGTGTGAGGAGGGAGCTAGTGTGCCCGTCAGTCTCCCCTTCTTCTAGTTAAAGAAGCTCTAGAACAAGCATGTCAAACTCAAAGGCTACCACGGGCCAAATAAACAAGGTTTAAGTTTCTGTGGGCCGCAAAAACACAAAAGCTTCAGTTTTCATAGAAACGTAGGTTTATTTCGATAGAGACATGCTGAATACAAAGGGCTGAAATAAACGAGTCATCGTTAACATAAAGTAATAGAACATTTTAATGAAAATTAATATTTTTTTCTTGAACATTAACTTACCAGACATTAAAAACTGCACAAATTAATAAGCGCAATGCAAATAAACTTATTTTTCTTGTTCTCCAAAAGCGAAATATTTCCTGTTGCGCACACCAAACAAGTCAGTCCAAGACC